ATCAGTACAAAGATGCTTCAGAACAGTATAGCGATTCCCATACTGGAAGGGAAATAAGCGGTACCAGTATAAGGCAGCTTTATACCAGCATAACTGCATCCACATGAGGTGTTGTACTGGCATAACTATTTTGGGCAGGGGAAATTAACTATGTCAATGGTTTTCAAACTTTTTGAGCTGAGTCCCCGCCTTTGAGTTACAATGTTTGGTTGCACCCTCCTCCCCCGCACCCAGACAAAAATAGACACATGCAAAAGTATGCTTGACAGCCTACTCATAGACTTAACACTACTTTAATTAAATTACCTCAAATTAAATTAAATTATCTCAGCAGCTGGCTGCTTCTGCCTCGCAGGCAAGCTGCACCGTTAGGGCAGAGCCCTCCGCCCTCCGGTTTTCAAGGTGGGGAAAGGTGTGTGCGATGGTCTCTGGAGGCGGAGCCTGCGCTGGGCACGGAGGCTGCCAGGAGCAGAAATCGGACACTGACCCATGGCTGTGGGGGCTGCTGAGGTGAGTCGGGGCTGGAGGGCATGGTCTGAGCTGCCTGGCATTGTTGTTCACCCATTCAAATATTCCTTGTGGCAGGGGGGGGGTCCCCCAAAATTTGAAAACCTATGCACTATGTGATAGAGTCTATCCACCTTCTATGCCCCCTATTGGGGCACCCTGACACTTCCCCTGCTGCTCAAGGAAAAGTCACTCAGACCACTACTAAAGAGACGGTCTTTCAGAGGCTGGAGGAGACACTGACCAGTCAGGAGCCAACAGGCATATCTGTGTCTTTGCAGGGGTAGTGCAGGGTGAGGCTGGGTTATAGGAAGAGCAGCTCAATGCCAGCCCAGAACCTCAGGGCCAGGTTAGGGCCTTGCCTGAAGTGCTGCAACTATGCATGTGCCTTTGAGTTTTGTCAGGATGTATGTGACTTTAAACACACACATTCTGAGATTTGTTAGCCATCCTGCTGCAAGGAGACAGCCATGACTTGGGGACTAAGGCAGGGAGTGCTTGGGGTGGCACAACTCCAGGGACAGCATTCCGGGAGGGGTTTTGGTTTTCTTTTGCTTGGGATGGCAAAAAACCTAGAGCCGGCCCTGCTTGACTCCACAGGAACAGCCCCCCCGTGACATACTGGTACAAAAAAAATGTGGCTCTTCTTTCTAAAAGGGCATAGTAGATTGCAACCTGGAACCCATCCTTTTATAAAGGCCTCAGGAAATGCCCACAGATATGCTTTGATGCCCTTTATCTCATTAACAACCAGTGATAACGGATGACAAAATTATCCTGCTCTAGAGCTGGGTTAAAGTCATTTTTGCTCCGCTATTCATAGTTGTTCAGTGTTACAGAATCGGGATTAGCTTAAAAAGTTCCCTTTTTTCTTTCAGGATTGGATCACATTTCAATCCCTTTTCAGACTGATTCACAATGAGTGAACCATGCTCAGCAGTAGAGGTGAGGGTATATTTTCTTCTAGTATCTGTCAGCAAAACTGAAACTTCTGCTGACACAAATCTCTGGTCCAGAGGGAATCATTTTCTGCTTTCTTAAGAACTGTAGAAAAATAGAGTTAAATTCCCATTTAAGGGTCTGTGTAAAGTTTTGATATTGACAGAAAAAACAAACTGCAAAGTCAGCATAACTCAGATAAATGATCTTACAAGTAAAACCAATGGTCAAACATCTAAAAAAACATCCCACATGTTTTCATGTATAATATTGAGAAAGACTTTGAGTCAAATTAATCTCTACGTAACTCCATTGAAATTAATGCAGTCACGCCAGGGATGAATATGGTTCAATTTCTAGTGAAATTTGCAGCTCTCTGTTTCAGTCAAGGAGGAAGAGAAATCAGCTTAAGTAAGTATTCTGTCAGAAAATTTCTTTAAACAGATGATGCATGACCCTAGGAAAAAAAAACTAGCAAAGTTTTGTAGAGAACTGAAGAAAAAACCCTTAAGAATAAAAATGTGTCAAACTCTCTGGACTTGTTATGTCTAAATCGCTTTCTTTAAGAGACAAGGTTTTATAAATGCCTTTTAGCTTAATTTTGTAGCTCCTAGATGACACCAAGTGGTTACTCAGGCCAATTACTCTATTTTTTCTGTGAACAATCATAAGATCTTCTCTAGTAAGCTATTCCAATATGTTAAAGACATAATTTATTGCTTATGCAGCTTGTGTTCCTCTATTTTAAACTCAGTTTTGACTAAAGTGTCAGTTTCAATACTTTTTTGGAAGAACTTCCTCTCTCTACCCATTCCCTCCGCCCAAAAAAAAGTCACCTGAAGGACATAACATTTGCTTAGCTCCTTCCAAGTCTATTGTAGAATGTTGTCCTTAATGTATCTTTCATGTAGTTTTCAAAAACAACCTAAAACACAGGAGATTATTTTTGACCCTGTGGGACCCTGTCTTAACTTGATACAGATTAGCTCTTGTGGAAGGTCAGTATAAAGGCAGAGACACACACAATTTGATAAAGAAATTCAGCCAGACAAATCTTCTAGGCATGATTATATGTGAGGAACTGATGTAGCACTCTGGTTTATAGGAGTAATCTCCTTATGTAGTATAGCAAGCAAGCCTATGAAATGGAAAACTCTTTAGCACATTGCAGTTTTCTCTCTTCACTGTTGCTTGAAAGAGATAAAGGAAAATCATCACTACATAAAGTATTTATTAAGCAGTATGTTTCCATGATCTTACCCAAGTATTGTATATGCATGCAGCTGTGTGTTTAATGGTGAGGAAGATCACCACCAACAACAAAACAAAAAAATGCTCCACTTAGAACCCAAGATGAATGTAAGGTTATATATACACATTAAGGAAATCTAATGCTCTGAAAACAATCTCTCACTTCTGGAATTCATCTATAGTTTTCTTTGAACTGCATTGGTTTATTGAACACTATACTAATTTGAAGAATTAGACTTAGCTCTTCAAATTTTCATTGGCAGGAGAGAAATATTTCTTTGATACTAACATACATTAAAAGAGTCTTGTTGGCACATAATTGAGATTACAGCAGCTAAAAGAACTCCCATACCATGGATTTTATAGGCAATAAGGCAGCAGTGGCTCTTACTGAAGAAGACAAGAAGAAAGTTGAACTGAAGCGTGATCTTGGAAAAAGAGTTACAGAAATGTGATAGCTAGCTTGGAAATGTTTAAATGGCTGGACAGGAAAAACATGACAACTAGCTTTCATCTTTAGAAATAGTCAAATTTATTGAAGTTTATATTTCTCAAAATTATATGGAAGTAAGATTTCTCTTCCAAGTACTCTCCATTTATCTCCAAATACAAAACAGAAAAAATTACAATCTGGAGATGAATTTTGGGACAACTCAGGAAAGCATTACTACTGTTTGCCAGATCTCATTTGTGTGCCAATTCTCCACTAATTTACACACTTTGCAATCTCATTGATTGCAGCTCCCCGCCCCCCACACACACATACAATGACAGTGAAGAGTATAGACCTATATGATTCCACCTTTCTCTAATTCTGTATTATTAATCACAGTAAAGCTTCTTAGAGTAAAAAGAAGCAATGTCATATACCTGTATTAATTTTTTCAGGCTTTCTGGCAAAGATTTTCAAACCCAATGCTAGGCTCCTAAATCCATATTTAGGAATCTAAATAGCCTATTTTTCAAAAAGTGCTGAACACCGACCTGCTCTCATTGATTTTTTAAAATGTTGCCCTTGACCTAGATCCTTAATGTTAATAGATTCTACAACATCGGTATGGAAAATAATATGGGTCATGGCCCTTCCAGTAGTATCCATACCTTCCCTTGCTTCCCCAAGGTAATGTCCATATAAGTGCATTGGATGCTAAATGTAAACCTCTTTCCCCCGTCCCCAGCCTAAATATCCTACAAAAGGTTAAGCAGCCTGAAGATGCCTCATAAAACTTAATAACAGGATTGCTTCCAAGCTCTGCCTTGGTAGCAGATTCCACCCTGTATGCTTGTCAAATAATACCTTCAATAGAATAATCAGATAACATAAAGCTGTCACTCTCTATCAAGAACTGCACTAAGATATCTTGTCATGTTTTGATTTGAAAGCTCTGATCAGCTCTTAAAAAGATGTTTACATTGGCTATGAAGCTTGCAAAGGCACATTTGTGGCTAATTCCTCGAGAAGTTTGGTAAAGCCCGAAGCATGATACTCTTCTAGATTCTCTGAGGAACTAGGCTGCCCTTCAAAGGTTGATAATCACCCTCATGCCCCAAGCGATTTTTCTAACAAGACAGTCACCTTGGTTTTCCTGAGCTCTGGGGTTTCAGCACTGAACTTGATTCAGAATGACAAGGACCCTGGAATTAATGAATGTCGTCTAGATGGTAGGCATGAAACCCTGCTTCATTTAAATCTGTTATATTAACAGTATTAAGGAGACACATGAAAATTGTATTTATATCCCAATTTGTTGTAATGTTTTCAATCCAACCACTTCTTCACATAGGAGGTAGTGTTAGAATTATTTAGATGACATATTATTTGGCATTAATCGGGGATGAATTTAGCTCAGGGTCTTAAAATAATTAAAGATATACAATACAGCTAGGCTGACCAGATAGCAGTTGTGAAAAACTGGGACACTTTTTTTTTCGGGAGGGGAGAGGGAGTATAGTTTTGTATATAAGACAAAGCCTCTAATATCAGGATGGTCCTGATAATATTGGGACATCTGGTCACCCTAATAACAGCACAATTCTCCATATGACATGTTAGAGTGTTACAATATTAACAATCTGAGAATTAATTACAAGTGAAAAGTCTGAGCTGGGTCCCACTGAAATCCAGAGCAAAACCCCAGTGCTTTCAATAGGAGCAGTATTAAGGATTTTACACTGGTCATTACTTCCTTTCAGAATAAGGAAATACCCTAATAACAGGCAATTGTGAACTATGGTGGGCACCTTATTCCTTTGAAGGAAGTCAAGTCATAGCTAATGTCTCAATCCTGTAAGGTTCCACGTACCTCCAATGAATAAATCCACTGATTCCTTTCGTTCCAAAGTATCCTAGTTCTTGTCTCATTCTTGGTGGCTCTACCACCTTCCTTGCTTTCATCATTGCCAGTGCAGCTCTCCCTTGACAGTCTATTGGCTCTTCCTTCATTATCTTCAGAATAGCTTTGTCCTTCTATTCTTGGGGCAAGCTACTGGGTGAATTGCACAATTCCAGGGTGTGATTGTCTGTCTTCATGATGCATGAGTGAGACATCAGCCCTTTTTTAATGAACTGGAAGTAAAAAACGAAAAATGAAGCGCAGCCTGGAGGCACCTGACCAGTAGTAACATAGGGCAGGAAGATGAAGGCAAAGGAAGTGCATCTAAAGCAGTGTGTACAGTAACTCCTCACTTAAAGTCATCCCGGTTAACATTGTTTCGTTGTTACGTTGCTGATCAATTAGGGAACATACTCGTTTAAAGTTGTGCAGTGCTCCCTTCTAACATCGTTTGGCAGCCACCTGCTTTGACCACCGCTTGCAGGACGAGCAGCCCGTTACAGCTAGCTGGTGCGGGCTTGGAACCAGGGTGGACCGGCAGCCTCCTATCAGCTCCCCACTCCCCTAAGTTCCCTGTGCTGCAGCCGCCCAGCAGGCTATCAATCAGAAGTTCAGCTGTCCCTCCCCCCACTGCCATGTGCTGCTCCTGCCCTCTGCCTGGGAGCTGCTCCCAGAGACTCCGGCTTGCTGTGCAGGGGCAGAAACGGAGGCTTATGTCAGGGTGTTGCCCTCCCCCTGCTCCTGCACCCTGCTTACCCCTTCTCCATATAGAGCAGGGAGGGGACACAGATGGAGAAAGACAGAGAGAGCTTGGGGCAGCTGCTGTCTCAACTTCCCGGTCCACTTAAAAAGACAATGCACTTAAGAGTGGGTCAGCTTACTTAAAGGGGCAGTGTCCATCTCTCTCTCTCCCACACACAAGGTGTGTGTCTGTCTCTATCTGCTATGCTGTCTCCCCTCCCTCATGTTCATGCTGCCTTGTGTGAGTGGCTACATTAACAACAACGTGTTAACCCTTGAGGGCTCAGCCGAGTGCTAGTTCATCATTTAGCAGCAAGGCATTCCCTGGGAAATATCCCTCCTTCTTCCACCCTCTAACTTCACCACCTCAACCAAGCTTCACAATCATCATTGATGTGAACAGTATTAAATTGTTTGTTTAAAACGTATACTGTGTGTATATCTATATAATATATATTTTTTGGTCTGGTGAAAAAAATTTCCCTCAAACCGAAATCCCCTTATTAACATTAATTCTTATGGGGAAATTGGATTCACTTAACATCGTTTCGCTTAAAGTCACATTTTTCAGGAACATAACTACAACGTTAAGTGAGGAGTTACTGTACATTAAATGTGTACATCGGACACTAATATCCCCAAAATTATAATAATAACACTGTCACCCAGAAAACCTGAACAACAAAGAGTCTTGATATTTAAATGCTGCTGTCTTAAGAATGGTCCCATGTTAGCAATTTCATTGTATGACGATATAAATAAAATAATAATGAAAAATAAATATATTACAAAACAGAATAAAGGTAGAATGGAGCAAACAATACATTCCTACTTTGAGCTGGCTTTCATCCGCAGCATTACTGTAGAAAAGCATCCCTTCCACACTGGTGCTCTGGCTTCAGAACTTCGTATGTGCAGTCAGTGTTGCAATTCATCTAGTACCTTTTAGTCTTAAATCTCAGAAAGCATATCCTAATAGGATAGTACAATAATCCTATGTCCTTCTTAACAGTATTGTATACAAACACATTGGCCTTCTATTCCACCTTTGGCTTGGTGTATTTAACCTGAGCTATGCTATGTAGTGTGTACTTAAAGAAATACTGTAAAATCTTTCATTGTGCCATCTTATGACATTTTACTGTTGACAAAACAAAAACAATTTTTTTTGTATTGTTGTGCTTGCAAACTCCACATGAGTGGATCCGAAGAACATTGGAGACCAGAAATTAAATACAGCAGCATGAATAAAAAAAAATAATCTTACTATTAAAATCACATTGTATTCATGGCAAATAAACATTTTGTCCTCCTCCAAATCACACAGCAAAATGTACTTTTTTCCATGATACATTTCAATGATACTTCAGCAAAGAAAGCCATATGGTTTTGCTTGCTTGTTTGTTTTAAGAGTGTACTATATTAAGGCTGACTTCTGCTGGGTGTTTATGAGTCAGAAATAGATCACCTAAAATAGCCGTGATCCTGTCACTGTATCTGCCTAGGCAGACCCTTGTAGCTACATCAGTATTATCAACCCCAAGGGCTGGAAAATTATGACTCCAGGCCCCCTAGAATCATAAGATTTAAAAATACTTCTTGGGTTCTTTTTAATCGCCCTTTGGCTTTTGAAGCATCTGTAAACTTTCCTCTGCAACGAAGAGGGTTAAAATTTTCCTTTTTTTATTTTTATTTTAAATGAAAGCTGAGATTCTCACACAAGTACAGGAGCTGGAGTTCTAAGAAAAGTACCAAATATCATGAGAGTTGGCAACACTGTAATGGATTCATCTGAATGTAAGCTCTGTGGGGGAGAGGGTCACGTCTCTCTGATCTGTTCTGCACTGACTTCACCGTAGATAATCAAACATAAAACATCTGGCTCACATCGCCTCCTCTACTTCAGTGAGTGGGATGCAAATGTCCCTTTCTGCCCCATCCTGTCCCCATGGCACCCTCCCCTTCATCGCTGCACCAGGCACAAGCCTCTCTGCAAGGTTTTTGGTGGTGGGGAGAGGTAGAAAGGGGAAGTGGCTGAATTCCACCCCACTGTCCCAGAGCACACTGATTATCTGAATAGATGCCTTAGCTCAGTTAACAGCAGGAAGGCTCCTTCTGGAACTTTGCTCCCCAGTGGAGCTCAGCAAAGCCCCCTATTCAGCCAGATGTGCCATAGTCATCCATACCAGGTTGGGAAGCCTGATCTTTCATTAGTTAATCACACAGCTTTCCAATTTCAACTTTTGTACAACGAATTTGCACAGAAGCTGCTACAAGCTATTTCGCAAGGGGATGAGCCATGAAGAATAAGCCCTTCTATGTCTACACTTGATGAACTCAGCTTGCAGACTTTACCTTGTGAGCTCAATATCCTTTGTCTATTAATGTCACACTGCAGATTAAATGTATACCGCCTCCTAACATCTACTAGGCTTCACTATTAACAGTTACTGTACACATCTGCCAAAATAAATATAAATAAATAAAATAAACAAATTAATGGAGATATCCTGTCTCCTAGAGCTGGAAGGGACCTTGAAAGGTCATCGAGTCCAGCCCCCTGCCTTCACTAGCAGGACCAAGTACTGATTTTGCCCCAGATCCCTAAGTGGCCCCCTCAAGGAAATTTCACCATTGGGAAATTCAAACCACCCCATGTACAGAAGCCAAAGGAGCTGCTGAATCAGAGTGTAGTGTTCTAAAATGGAGTCACTACACTAAAATCTCTTCCCAAATTCCAAAGGGATTTGCCCTCCACGCCTTTGCTTGAGCACCAGAAACACTAAGAAAGAGGGAGTGTGATCTGAGTACCAAAGAGCACATCTCAGTGCCTTCTTTTTCTTGAACATCTGGAAGGGCCCTCCATGAGCAGTCAAAAAGAAGAACTATATTAGAGAGACTCAAAATGGGAATAATACTTGCTTATAGTCCCCATATGGGAAACTAAACAAAATTTTAGTTGATATCAAATAATGTTACAAATATTTGGGGGATATTAAAATCATATTTTAAATATTACAAAATAAAAACCTTTATAATACTTAAAATATAAATGACTATTATTGAAAAAATTTCTATGGAACCATGTATTTTGTACAATACATCAATAGTATGATATTTAAATATTAACCTGATGTAAAAATATATTATACAGATATGTTTTTCCAGCATATTAAGACAATTATTGGATAAAATCCATGCTAAAAATTACAAAGTTAACATTCCTTCAGTTATATATGAACATACATCTTATAAAATAAGATTCTTATAATGAGATTAAACATACATTATGTAAGTTTTATAAAAAGGCTATGTAGTGTTTAAAACATATATCATCATGTTGAAATGCTGGTTGTTCCACAGCTCCTCCCCCATAAAGGTGGAATCTCATATGGTACCTTTTTTATTCTGCCAGGAGTATTAGGGATGTTTCCCATAATCTTGGTATAAATAATTAAAAAGCGTGTGGGGAGGAGAAGAGTTACTTTATCTTGTTAGATACTATTTGTGACAGGTTGGGTTACAGAAACCCCCTTGAGACTGCCACCTGATGTGCTAAGACTACCTCTGAGCCCGTTTTCCCTGCCAGCTTGGGACTTCAGTACCCTGTCTCGTTGAGCCAGACACGCTAGCCTGCTGCAAACACAGATCTAGGTCTTAACCACATCCCCCAAAGCTGCAGACTTAACTGAAAACGGCTTAAAAAGTGCTCCTGCCTCTAGCACCCATATACCCAGTTCCCAATGGGATCCAGACCCCAAATAAATCCATTTTACTCTGTATAAAGCTTATATAGGGTAAACCCATAAATTGTCCGCCCTCTATAACACTGATAGAGAGATATGCACAGCTGTTTACTCCCCCAGGTATTAGTCACTAACTCTGGGTTCAATAATAAGCAAAAAGTGATTTTATAAGTATAAAAAGTATTATTTAAGTGGTTCCAAGTAATAACAGACAGAACAAAGTAAATTACCAAGCAAAATAAAACAAAAACACGCAAGTCTAAGCCTAATACAGTAGGAAACTAAATGCAGGTAAATCTCACCCTCAGAGATGTTCCAATAAGCTTCATTCACAGACTAGACTCCTTCCTAGTCTGGGCCGAATCTTTTCCCCTGGTACAGTCCTTGTTCCAGCTCAGGTGGTAGATAGGGTATTTTTCATGACTGCAGCCTTCTTTGTTCTGTTCCACCCCCTTATATAGCTTTGGCACAAGGTGGGAATCTTTTGTCTCTCTGGGTCCCCACCCCTCCCTCTAAATGGAAAAGCACCAGGTTTAAGATGGATTCCAGTACCAGGTGACATGGTCACAATACCTGTGGGACCCCAGGCTTTCATTCTTCCTGGCCTGACTTACAGGAAGTCTTGCAAGTAAACAGAGCCATTTACAACCAATTGTCCTAGCTGATGGGAACCATCAAGATTCCAAACCACCATTAATGGCCCACACTTTGCATAATTACAATAGGATCTCAGAGGTATATTTCAT